AGAAGGCAATTGAAAATGGTAACAAGCCTGACCAGAACAATTTGGTACCTATTGCCTGTTCTTACGACATGGGGTGGCAGAAACGGGGGCGAGGTTTCAACTCTAAGACCGGACATGCTGCAGTCAGGGGCCTTTCAACTGGTAAGGTCCTTGACTACACAACAAAACATAAAATGTGCCGCTCCTGTGATCAAGCTAAAAAGGCAGGAAAACAACCAAATGACCACGACTGCAGAAAAAAATCATTCAGGCTCTTCAAAGTCAATGGAGCCTTTAGCTGCAGTTGAACTTTTCAATAAGGTAACTAAATCAAATGTCAAATTTTCAATTTACAGTGGGGATGATGATTCAATGACTGAATCTCACCTAAAGCAAAAGGTACTCTTTGGTGAGGAAAAATGGAGTGATACAGTTCACTTAAAAAGATCCCTTACAACCCGAATATACAACTTGGGCCAACGAAGTAAGTTCCCCAACAGTTCAGTGTTGTCACCGAAAGTCATAACTTACCGTGTCAAATTCTTTACATACTGTATTGCACAAAATAAGGGGAATGCTACAAACATGAAATCTGCAATTCAAAGCATTGTGCCTCATGCAGTTGGTGACTATACTGGTTGTAGAGAAACATGGTTTCGATACAAGAAGGACCCTTCTCATTTTTGTCACAGAGATCTTCCCTATGGCAAAGACCTCCAAGGAGATAGTCTTCAATCAGCCCTGAAATCTCACTTTGATGAATATAGCACACACATTGTTATAAACAGACTTGCACCTGCAGCAAATTCTCAACGTAATGAGTTTCTGAACAGTGTGTTGGGCTCGAAGGACCCCAAAATTCGCTTTTACGGGGGAAGTGAAAACAATGATTATCTAGTGTCCTGCAGTGTCTCTCAAGTAAGTTTAGGTTACAGGTACATTCCTCAAACTCTAGCGTCACAACATAGAGCCAGGTCTTTTCTGTGTAGACCATAATACGAAAATGGACAAGAAAAGTTCGAGGAACAAACAAAGGAAATCAACAGTTGCATTCAAGCGACGTCGATCACAATTACACAAACACCAGATTTCAGAAACGTCGAAAAACGAGGGCAAAGAAGGTACCATGTATCAAATTGGCATTGGCCTGAACCTAAACTCTTCAGCGACAACATTGGAGTTGAACAATTCTGAACTTTCAATCACTGATCTTCATGATATAACCTGTGCTATCACGAAACAACATTAAGAACAGTACGAAAATGCAGTTCCGAAATACACTTCGAGGCCCACAGTTCAAGAGGAAAAATTTCATGACAGTAAATTTTATCACTTTTTTTTATTTGTCATCGAGACAAAATCAACGGGAAAATCAGCAGAAGTATGTCAGCTCGCTGTCTTGGATAGGTCAGGTAAACAATTCTCATGCTATATTCCACCAACCAGAGACATAGATTCTCACGCGTCAAAGGTCAACAAACATACAGTTAAAACTGTCAATGGAATCCGCCGACTTTTCAAAGATAATCGACTAGTAGAAGCCTTTGATTTATCGCAAGTACTTAGGCAGTTCTTAACTTTTTTGAGGGCCAGCATAGATTCAGCTTCAACACGGTCACAAAGCCCGTTTGCACAATGTTGGCTGGACACAACGCTGCCACATTTGATATTCCAATACTTCTTCGAAACGGTGGCGAAAATTTTATCGCGGAGCTCAGTTCCATCAGTTCCATTCAGTTTGCAGACACTCTGACACTGATGAAATCATTCATCAAAGCAAGCACTCTTCCCTCCAAAACGCAGAAGGTAAATTTCCAAATCCTGGGCAGAGTTCTGTTTACGAACATTTATTTCAAACCACCTTTGATGCCCACGAGCCCTAGAGGACGTGATCGCTCTTCGAAGAATCTTCCTTTCGTCTAGGTTGGCTCTGTCAAGGACGCCGCCGAAGACCTGAAATATCTTGACAACCATCATCAGAGACTCCTGTCTTTTCGAGGAAAGCTGTACAACCCAGGTCATGCGGATAGCGCAATAAAGCAAAGCATTGCTGAAAAAATTGCTGGCAGTGGCCTAAGATATGAGGATTTAAAAAATTTGTACCAACGATTTGGACGGAAAGGTCTTGTGTGTATTTTGAACTAGCGACTAAAGACAGGAATGGCTCCGACCTGTAATTGGATAATAAAAATAGTAAAAGTTAATAAGTTATATCTTAACTCCTTGCACGTGAGTATTTCCTTTTTTCAGGTATAGCAGAGTTGTTAAAAATTGCCAAGCGAAATTAAAGTAATCCGCGACTTACTTCCTTTCGGTGTTGTGCAAAAATAGACGAGGAGCTCGATGAATGGATTTATCTTTCATGTGAAGAATTTTCCCGGAAAGTCAATGTTCTACTAGTCTGAATGCATATTTAATATATGGGGTGATATGGTACTCTTGCCAGTCAATGTTCCACGAAGAAAACTCCCTCAATTACGGCCAAGCCACATCTCTCCAGCAGAGCATACTGTAAATTAAGAATATCGGTCAGAACGTCACGTAACATTGTGTGATTTTCGAAACGTGACATCCAGTTGCTGCATTAAACTTTAGAGATCACATGGCCTTGTATTAATTTATGAGGGCTCCATTCACAAGCATTGTAATGTTCAACTTAATAAGAACTTTTAGAATAAAAAGCTCTTTCGACTTTATTTCAGTTTAAAATTTATTTCGCCAAAAAGAAAAAAAGAAAATTAATAAACGCATGAGTTGGAGCCATTCCTGCCAGCGGTGAAATACAGGAATGGCTTCAGTCTCTAGTCGTCCACCTGAACTGAGTCTGCAATGACTAAATGAGCTTAGTCAGCGGAACGAGTCAGCAGATGACTTAGTCCTCTCCGGAATATCGCTGAACGAGAAAGGTCTCCCCTTCGTTATGTAAGTAACCATCTCTTGTTTGACACATCGGAGTTTTCAGTCGCATTGATATTTCCCTGTTTCGCTTGGAGACACACGGTTAAACAATACTCACGTGCAAGGAGTTAAGATGTAACTTATTAACTTTTACAAACTTTTACTATTTTTATCATCCAATTACAGGTCGGAGCCATTCCTGTATTTAGTCGCTAGT